AACTTCACCAAGAAAATCTATGTGACAAAATGTAATAAATTAGTAATAATAATCCAAATGTGTATTACATTAAAAACTGAAGTATAGAAATAAGTTAAACTAATAACATAACAACATACCAAATGCAACACAAGTGTCAAAGTTCCTGGCTAGCAAATTTGGGAAAGAGATAAAATGATAAGGATCTACTGTATCAACAAAATCAGTGGATACACAAACTTTTGTGGTTTTGTAGAAATTGATTTTATGTTTATGAGGAACAAGCATGTATTCGCCTTCATTGCTAGCCATAGTGAAGTTACTGATCTCCCGGACAGCTCCTTCATCGAATAGGGATTCAAATACAGGAATAAGATTTTTTTTATTGTTGCTTGTATTCTACTTCCCTGTAGGTGACAATGAAAGATAAAAAAGTGTAAAAAAAAGTATTAAAAATAGAAAAAAAATAATACTGTTAATTAAAATTTAATAAAATAGAAATAAAATTTAAAGATAAAGTATCAACAAATTTAATAACATAGAAATAAAAGAGAAGAATTGAAATCGATAAAAATCCACATTTTTCTTCCAGGAAATATTCAGTAAAGTCGAAACAATGTGACCGACTGATTATATGACCTGACACAATTAATAATAAGAAGAAACCGACATATTTAATTGATTATTAAAACTAATAAAGCTATATAACAGATTTCATTACATAGAATAAATTCCAGTGAAGGGATCAGGAACCAAAATCACAAGATTTTGAATAATTGTAAGTTTATCAGATTGATAAAAAAAGAAAGGAATAATAAGAGATTTCATTACGTAGACTAAAGTTTGTTATTAAAAATAATAAAGTTGATTATTAAAATTATATGAATAGAAGTAAAAAAGCATAACAGAAATCGAATTTAAAATTTTTTGAATAGAAATTACATAAGCTTTTGACAATCTAAAAAATAAAGTGTGTAATAACAGTACCTCCTGGTCAATTAAAATCATGTCTAGGCTTGTGACCATATTAGGATTGTTTTTATAGGTCGGCTTCCAAAGCATGACGACTTTAACACGTATGTTCCAAGACTCTTTGGATGCATTGATTTCAACAACCTTATCAAAGACGACCTGATCTGCATTGTTAGCTGCCATGGAATACTATTATCTGCAATGAAAGGAGATAATTAGTTAGAGAGAATTTTGATTTGGAATGAAAAATCGTAGACACTATATTTATAGGGAAATATAAATTTGGTTAATGCTGATATGACATAAAGATTTTGGAATGTAATATCATTTCCATACTTAAAATATGTTTTATGTATGGTATGATATCCAAAATAATATCAATGTACCATGTCAAATATAAGTACAAAAATAGATAAAATCATACTAATTTAAGATAATATTTACCATATAAAAAACTGTAAATTTGAAAAGCTTGTAGAATAAGAAAAAATATAATAAATATATAATATTTTCATAAATATGGTATGATATCGAAAATAATATCAATATACCATGTCTAATATAATTACAAAATATGAGATATAAACTATGAAAAAGAGTAATAAGAGAATTTTATATGATAATAATGTGACAACAAAGCAAGATATATAAGAGGATCAATAAGTAACTAAATAAAAAAAATTGATAGAGTGTTTAAGAAGTGACCTATGATTTTCTGTATGATCTATCAAATTCAAACCCCATCATTGTATATGTCAGATGGAAAAAAAAATTGTATTGATAAATATTCAAGCTTAGGACTTACACCCATTTTGGACTTGGAGATCCACAATCTGCACATAATTCATTACCAGATTCAGATTAAAAAGATGACATTCCTCTTTTTTGCAGCTGAAGAATCTGTCATTACAAAAAAAGGTATGAATATGATATGTAAATGAAATCATTAATGATTTATAATAAAAAATTAAACTTACTGGAGGGTGATGTCTGTTCATCCGATTCTCTGCCTAACACCATAAGCATAGGGTTATTTTGGGAACAAAAATTTTATAATCTAATGTGAGATGTTTGAATTTGAACATAAACATACTTCTATAATCCAATCACTCTTTCTCTTTTTCCCTTTTGCGCCTGAGTAAGTAACATAGAAATAGATAGTTAAAATATTTAAATAGTTGTAAAAATAAATTACGATTCCAGATAGTCAATCATTCAACAATAAATAATACTTTTAATACAAAACTAAAAATAAAAATAACACTGCAACCACCATTACCAAACAAAAAAAATAAAAATGAAAATTGGAAGAACACAAAAAGAAGTTGATATGCGATTAATTCATTACCACATTCAGATTAAAAAGCTGACATTCCTCTTTTTTGCAGCTGATGAATATGACATTACAAAAAAGGTATGAATATGATATGTAAATGAAATCCTTAATGATTTATATAAAAAACGAAACTTACTGGAGGGTGATGTATGTTCATCCGATTCTGTTTCTAACACCATAAGCATAAGGTTATTTTGGGAAGAAAAATTTTATAATCTAATATGAGATGTTTGAATTTGAACATAAACATACCTCTATACTTAAATCACTCTTTCTCTTTTTCCCTTTGGCCCCTGAGAAAGTAACACAGAAATAGATAGTTAAAATTTCTCAATATATGTAAAAATAAATTATTTATTTGAGTTAAAATAATATAAATATGGTAATATAGTAATATACCACTACTCTTCACATCTTCTTTTTCATCCTTTACATATGAAAGATGCAAAAAACACATAATTTTTTTCATTGTTATTAATAGCAGATAAAAATAGATTGTTAAGAAGGGGGTAAAATAGTCAAATTACTTAGCATTTGATATTTTCTTTTGTATACTTCATTAATCTGTCAAATCCAACCCATTCATCCCAACTGTAATCAAGATATTGGAGCTTTATAAAGGTTAATTTGATTCCAGAACAACCCAATTATTGTTCATAATCCCCTTGCAGATTCCAGTTGTGTCTTTATCTCCTCATCTTCCATTACAACATGCTACACCACCAAACAAAATGTATCAAATGTCGGGTTTCTGATAAAAAAGTTATACAAAAAAAGAATTAGACAAACCTTTGACTTTGACTTTTCAGAAGATAAATATAAAAACCATGGAATTCTCAAGGTCTTGAATCTTTGACTGAAGAACAGACACGTGTTCTTTCAGCTGCTGGATTTGGTGGAAAATATCATGTGTGAATGCTTCAAGCTCTATCACCTGAAAGGCTTTGATTTATAGCACCTCATATTTATATTTTTACAACATAAAGTGTGACAAATATTATATATAGATGCTTATAAAAACAGCACAAAAAATGTACATGTGCTTGTAATGTTGCATTATCCTTGTTCATAGTGTTTATTTCTTCAACCATTTGGTTTACTTTTTCCTGATAACCGGTCTGCATATTATGCTGATGTCAATATCATATAATGCTAAATCAATTGCATGCAATTATTATTAATTGTGAATTTGTGACTCACCTCTTTCTGAAGCCAGGAATCTTTTTCAGTTTGTAACTGTAAAATTCTTGTCTCAAACTCAGTCTGATGATCATATCACACATGGATAATATATAACAATAATTAATCAAAAAATGTGTAGGATTTTTACATCTATAACAATTATTTTGGCTAATTATATAAGTCACCTCTTTATGATGCCATAAGTTTATTTCTTTGTGTGATTGGGAAAGGTTTCTCTCCAGATCAGCCTGAAACCATGCAGCAACAAAAACATAAGAAAGAATTTGACAAAATTTAACATGAAAATTGAAATGTGAACTTCATAGAAATGAAATATGTTACTACCTCCCTTAGTACATGCACCTCCAATTGCTCTTTCAATTCTTTTATTTTTTGTTGTATAGAAGCCTGCAAATTGGATAAAATAATTAAGAGAAAGATAGGATATGTCAAATTGTTGATAACACTAACACATGAGCCACAAACATGTTAAGAAATGCATATTTAGGATAAATTCTTACCTCTCTGTTAAATGAATAGGATTCAGCTTCTTTTTTGCAGCTGATGAAACTGACATTGCAAAAAAAGGTATGAATATGATATATAAATGAAATCATTAATAATTTATAATAAAAAAATAAACTTACTGGAGGGTGATGTCTGTTCATCCGATTCTCTGTCTAACACCATAAACATAGGGTTATTTTGGGAGCAAAAATTTTATAATCTATTTAGAGATGTTTGAATATGAACATAAACATACCTCTATACTCCAATCACTCTTTCTCTTTTTCCCTTTTGCCCCTGAGTAAGTAACACAGAAATAGATAGTTAAAATATTTAAATAGTTGTAAAAATAAATTATGACTCCAGCTAGTCAATCATTCAACAATAAATAATACTTTTAATACAAAACTAATTTTTAAGGAGGGTGGGGTATGATTTATTTATTTTTTTATCAAGTGTGACTTGACTCGGTTCAGGATGGAAGGGACCAATTCCCAGATTTGAATTTATTGTAGAAGGTCTTGGATCTTGTTGAAACAGCAAAAAACACTGCAATCACCATTACCAAACAAAAACAATAAAAATAAAATTTGGAAGAACACAAAAAGAAGTTGATTTTTGATGGTGACAAACCTGGAATCCCAGGGATAACAAATTTGTCTTCTTTGAGAACCGAATGAAGGGTTCTTCTTTCGTTAACTTTCACCCATTTTGATGCACATTCTCCCCCTGTAAGAAAGTGCTAATAATTTCCTTGTTGGACAAACCTACATGTGATCCCGCCTGCACACCAAACTTTGACCATAGGTTGAAAAAAATGTTAAACAACAAAATCATAGTAAGGAGGATAACTAATACTATCTAAGAACATGTAAGCATTCTCTAACCTCATAGTACAACTCAATGGAGTCTTAATTACCAGATGTTCGAGGTGTTGGAACAACATAAGCACCATAAGCTCTTGCACATGTTGGAGGAATGTCAGTCTTGTTAAACTTAACAACAAATTGAGGCTAAGCTTTAAGCCCCTCACTCTTAATTAACCTTATGTATCTCAACAAAGTTTCTTCAGGAAGTTCATGTGAACCCATATTTAGCTCAACTGTATAAAATCGCAGCTGTTTACATTCCTGTTATGGTCATACAATACATTTTATTAGGGTAGAATTAGAAGTCAAGAAATAAGTGAAATGTGATTTGACATCTTGTGAGTTGTGACAATAGCTAATTACCTGTATATACTCATTGAAAGAAAGGTGAACCTTTTTGAAGCAGATATTCGGCCCAATCACATGTGCAAGGAAATCACTAACCACAAAGAAGATGAAAAAGAAACCATGTTGGATACGTAAAAGGAAATCACTAACCACGGAAGGCATTAGAAAGAATTGATGTTATCATCATTCATGAATACGTAAAACGAAATCACTAACCACAGAAGGCATTAGAAAGAATTGATTGATTCTATGTGTAGAGCAACATGACGCCGACGGGTGTTCCGTGACGTTAGCGAGAGAAGGACGTTTCTTGGCTAAGTGAGATGGCAAAGCCATTGATTTGCCGACGACATTCTCCGACGCCTGCCACTTTGAAAATAATGACGTTGTTACAGAAGCTTTCCGATTGGACGTTGCCGTCGACATCACTGAATGCAGCAAGAAACCCGTACAGGAAAAGAAAGAAGAAAGGAACCTAGAAAGAAAACCCAAAAATTCAACAATGTTTGTGAAACGTAAGAACGACGTTACAATGCGATGAGTATGCGTATTTTGGAGTAAGCGATGAGCGTGCATTTTGACGTAAGATGATGTC